AGGTTCCTAGAAAGACTCTTGGAAGATCAACGTTCTCCTTGGTTCCCAAAGCTCCTTCTAATTCTATCCTGCATATTCCCAGTGACTTCTCTGAGTCCATGTTTCCCTACTGGATGCTTTATTCAAGTAGTATAAGGAAAATCTGCTTTCCTAAAATATTAACCAGGTGGTTACATTTGTAAGCCTACCTGGAATTGTAGGTTCATTCTCTGCTACTAAAGAATCTACTTTCTTTGTTCCTGTGTCCAACACACACCACAAATGACCTTGGGTCAGGATCAGCAAACTTTCTCTATAGAAGGTCAAAGAGTAATGGTTGTACCTGTGGGCTATGAGGTCCCTGTACAACTGCTCAATGTCACTGTTGCAGAATGGCATCAGTGATTGGTAACTTATTACTGAAAGTCTGTGGCTATGGAAGAGTGAAATATGTTCAGGAAAACAGTATTGAGTCCATTTGGTCTCCAGATCAGAGTTTGCTAATCCATGTTCTAGGGTCAAACCTTAAACACTCTTTGGTCAATGATTACTCGGTGTACAGTGAAAATTAGCCAAAGCATAAAAGGACCTTGAGGAAGTTAAAAAGCAAATTGAAGTTTATAAACTCCCTTTGATAATATAATACATGTAAAGCCACATGTCATGTTTCCACCTAGGTAGATGCCAACATAGAGCTCTCAACACCCCTTCATAATATTCTAACAGTTTCCTAAGATGGAACTTTTATCAGTGCGCATATGTCAAATAGAACTAAATGCTAACATACCTGGACATCAATTTTTAATTTATAAAATTTTCTGAAGCGTATTAACATACTAGAACTTCTAGTATATTGAAGATTCATTTGAGCTCTGTGAAACTTCCAACTGCTTAATGTACTGTGGTTGTCTAGAGAATATTATATACTATATAAACTTTATAATTCCATTTTTAAAATTAGAGATTAGCAGATTTTAATGTAAAAGGTAGTTTTCACCCGAGAACTCAAGTAAAACTCTTTCTCATGAGCCTGGACAGATATTCTGGTTGAAGAGTATCAGGAGTAGAAGACGTATGCTGAAGAACACAGAATACATTTTGTTGATTTCCAGAGTCTGAACTGAAATATATAACTGCACCCATGTCAGAGTTCCTACTTATTACCTTATAGATTGTTGTCATTTAGCATAAACACCTGAATTGTATATCAGGTGTACCCCCAAGGGTGTTTCATTTATATTTATGATTGCTATTATTATTTGCATTGTATTTGTGGTCTGATTAGTCTTAGGGTTGAATTTTAAAAGTGGGACTATACTACTTTTTTGGAAGGGATTGTAAAACTGTCAAGGCTTTTGTCATGATTAGAACAAAATCAGAGGGAAGAGGTCCAGGAAACTTTTTGTTTCCTAGTTTTCAATATGTGAGATGAAAAAATACAGCTAGTCTGCTTTAAAATAATGAAAGCAATAACAATAACAACCTGTTCAAAGGTATATAGCCAGAAAGGGCCTCAGGGTTACTATTGTTTATATCAGAATGATAACGGGGTTGGTGCTTCTAACAAACAAGGGAATCATCTCCTGGCTTGCACAAACCCTGTAGGCGATGCATGATGCACGCAGATTCTGCTACCATGGTCCTAAGGATATTAGAAATATGGATCCAGAGTATCCAGGTGTCTTTTATGATAGGTGTCCCTTGTTAGGACTTCCTGCAGCAAAATAAGCAATCTCACGATCTTGCCTTAAGATTGACCAACCCAGTTCTTCTGCATAAGACGCTGGTGAACCAGTTTAGAGCCTCAAAGCCAGTAAAAGCACAGGTTAGGATAGGAATGCCACCCCTCGCCCCCTGCTGAGAACTGAGTAGTGTACCATACAGCTTGCTTTTATTATCTTGTGTGCAAACCTTAGCCCATGGCATGGGTGTTATCTCAAAAATATCGAACCTCCTTTCATCTTCTTTTACAAATCTCCTCCTGCTTGTGAAGTAAGAAAATTAGAACCTTTTTGAGGGAAAAAAAAAATGCCATTCAGGCCTACACAATACAACTTCATTTAGGAGTACGGGGCCACTGATTGTTCAGCGGCATCCAGGACTCTGTAAGACAATTATGTCTCCAATCTGGGATCCGTAGGAATGACACCTGTCAACCACTGGATTTGTCTACCAGATCTGGTGCCCAGTCATAACTAAACATCTCCTCTCCAATCACTCAAAATAAACTACAGGTAACAAGATAAATAGGATGTGCTTCTCCTTGCTGAGTGCATTGACGTAAGGCATAGGCACATTTCCCCCTCTTTGAACAGAGATGGTATAATCCCCTGTCCCAGCACAAGAGCTGGCCAGGGTGACCCTGGAGCATGGTGATGAAGGTGGGATGATGAGAGGCAGGTGATGGCAGGAACCAGCATTGCTTCTAGAGATGGGGTGCGCTTGCTGCTGGGGCCCAGGAGACACAGCAATTCTCATAAAGACAGTGATTCAGTTTACATTAACTTTGAGGAAACACTTTCAGAAGCTTGCAGTGCTTTAGATCTGAGATTCCTGGAGAAAATGGTAGATTTAGGAATATACAACCAGCACTAGGAAAAAAAAATATATATGAGATCGAAGCCATAGAGTTTATGTATGCCTTTAAAAATACAAGTCACCTCACAATCCCAAGAAACACATAAAATCTAATTAGGTTCTCAGTGCTAGTCTTAATCAGATTTCTACCTTAAAATGATTTTTCTTGGGATTGTGCTTCCATGCTTAGGGATTTTGATTGACCTGATCGTTTTGGGTGAGAGTAGCCTAGATAAAATAAAACTTGAGAACATAACAGCTTCTCAGCCATTTTTTCTTTGAGCAGAGACATATTGCCCATTTATTCTTTGCTGTCATGCCACTGAGTAGCTTCCAGCTGACTGAAGAGCAGCTGTTACCTTATTCTGTGCTGATTTACAACTCTTATTTGGACTGTGGGAGAATATGTGAGTTTAAAGGAAGTAAGATAAGCGGAAGCTGTGTGAGCCATCCAGAATGTCAGAACTCATCCTCCTCACCCACCCAGTAGCAAAAGCCCCAGTACATTGGGCTGCACATGTAGGGAAGTCATTTTGAGTTCTTATGGCTGACTTGAATGGCGTTGCCCCATCTCATACTTGGAGGTGGAAGCTGGCCAGTCTTCCTAAAACTAAAAAAGGGAAGCCAAATGTCTAGCGTGTATGCATATGCGGTGGTGGAGATGGACTCGGGACTTCACACATGCTAAGCACTTGTTATACTAGTGAGCAGCAGCCCCCAAATGTCTATTTGATACAAAGATTTCAGTGCTTGAGTATTACTGGGAGATTCCCACCATCGCTGCCTCTAATGACACTGAAGGAGAAGGTAGGCTGTTACTTGAACAGGTTCATGAATATTCTTTTCACTGCACAGTGTGATTCCAAATGGGCTAGGGCAGTGCTGGTGAACCTCCTGCATGAGTGCCACAGCAGGCTGCTTGTATCACTGAAAGAGCTAGAAGGTTCGCCATCAATGGCCTAAGGACAATTGGGTCCCAATTTGTATTTAGATTTTATCTTGTAGATGGTAGTGATGAAATGGAAGATGATGGTGAATATCACAGGGTCACCCATGGCTCCTTTTGTACTGAAACCTCATTTTATACAGAGGATATATATATATTTATTTATATATATATTTATATATTTATTTATTTATATGTTTATGATTGTTATCTACTCCTCTTGAAATTTTTCCGTAACTAGTGTGTAGTAACCTTTATCTCTTTTTGTCATTCTTGGTTTGAATTTTACATTGTCTGCAAACAGAATAACTACTCTTGCTTTTTGCTGAGTTCCTGTTGCATGGAGTATTGGTTTCTTTCTTTTTTTTTTTCTTTTCTTTTATTGAAAACAAATATCAATGAGACACTTTCAAAACTGGTTAATAGGACAGTTTCAAAAATTAATAGATTGTTCATTATTATCTTCTTAGTGGTTATCCATAGTACAAGATACAGACAGAATATTGTTTTCTATCCTTTGACTTTCAGTCTGTGTGTTTCTTTTTGAGTTAAAAGTGTTTCTTCATATTGTTGGATCTTGATCCACTCTGCCAGTCTGTTTCTTTTGATTGGTGAATTGAGGCCATTTACATTGACTGTTGTAATTGATATCTATTAGCTTATCTTTATCATGTTGTTTTCCTGCTGTAGGTTATCTACTTTCCTCCTCTTTTAAATCGCTTGCCTTGTTTGGTGGTTTCTTTCTGATATTGTTCTTGGAATTGTGATATTGTTCTTGGAATTTTTATCTCTATCTAGAATACCTTTCAGTTCCTTTTTTAGGGTTGGTTTGGTGATTATGAATTTCTTCAGTTGTTCCTTGTCATGAAAGTACCTTATTTCGCCATTAATTTTGAAAGATAGTTTTGAAGTTTACATCAATCTGATTTTTCTTTCAGGACTTTAAATACTTTATTTCAAGCTATTCTTGACCTGAGGGTTTGGCTATGATTCTAATGGGCTTTCCTTTATAGGTGATCTGTTTCTTTTCTTTAACACCTTTAATATTCTGTTCTTGTGCTGAATTTCTGGGATCCTGATTTTTTTTTTTTTTTTCAAGTTTGAGTTTTTTTTTTTTTTTTTGGTGGAACCAAGGATTGAACTCAGACCCTTGGGCTTGGCAGAGAAGTGCTTGTTCTACTGAACCATCTCCCCGGCCCCTAGGGATCTTGATTATTATATGTCTGGTCATAGATGTTTGGATTTCTATATGCCTTATGTACTTATATGTCAGATTCTGTTCCCATGCTTGTGAAATTTTTAGCTATTACTTCTGCAAACAGTCCTTTTAGATTATTTGTGTTAATGCTTGCCTATTTATTGACACATCAATTA